GTTTGTTTCTCTCTCTCTCTCTCTCTAATGGTTGTCAACAGCATGACAATGGAACCACCCAAGAGAGAAGACAAGCCCACACAACTGCTTCTTGACACAGTCCACCGATCCAAGCACTCGACATTTTATAAGGCAAATTTCCATGTGGTGCTGAGATAGAGTGAGTGAGTGAGTGGGTGACATGTTATTTGGACATGGACAGGATTGCATCTCATATCTTAGCTTGACAGGGAAGAGTCTAATGCTGGTGGGGGTCTTAATTCAGGACACAACTTACTGTACCAAATGTGTCATCATAGGACATGCATGATCATCTTCCCACAAGCTGCTCCAAATAAGACAAGCCGAACACTGTGTGGATTGGCAAACATGGAATAGCAGAAACTATTACACCAAATATCAGTTGCTATTTTCTTGGCTGCTATGATCCTTTTTTGTCTCCTGTGCTGATGCTGCTATTATGCTGCTACAGTATCAGAGCAGCTAAAATCTAATGAGCATATATGTCTTTTTGTTCGACATTCTATTACAAAGAGGAGAAACAAATATCATCTGTTAAAAACCTCTTACTGTGATCCATGTAGAATCGTTTCGTTGCTACACATCACATGTACTCACTCAGCCAAAGGAACCTAAGGATCTAACTTTGTTTTACTTGGTGTCTTCCATTAAGGTATTCAACAGCATACAGAAGATCGACTTCATATGGATCCAGAGAGAGAGAGAGAGAGAGAGAGAGAGAGAGACCGGAGTCACTGTCACTAGCTGTAGCAAGCTAAGCGGCCAAATTGCACCAATGAAAACACTGAAGCAGCACATCGCATGTAGAGAAGATCGATGGTGATGAGGATCATTCATGTGGAGGCGGAAGAGGCGTGACTACAAAGCAGCAGTTCCACAAGGGAAGATGGGGGACCTTCCTATCACCACCACCACCATGCATGGATTCTGTTGGATGGCATTCTGAAAGCCCACCATTACTCTCTCTCTCTCTCTCTCTCTCTCTCTCCTCTCTTATATATCTGCTAGCCAACCCGCCTTTCTTCTTATCCTTCTTCTCAATTCTTGGCTTAGGATTTCTTTGTTGGTGTGAGAGGTTGAAGCTGCCAGCATGATCTGGTCATCGAATGCTGCTCATTCTCTCCATGGCTGCTTAGAAGCTGCCAAAAGCATCAATGGTGGGCAGTCCAATAATGGAGATGTTAGCCGTAGGAAGATTACCTTGTCTAGATAGCTGTAGAGACGGAGCTATATGCCCTGAAACCCAATGTTGCATGTTTAGTTATGAGTATTGGTACGAGAAGGAAGTATCTCATCTTGATCCAACAAGGTAATAGGATTAAGACCCAAAGATATAGCCATCGTTTGAGGTTCTCAAGAGCTCCAATGTGTCTTTCCATCCAGAGAGATGAGGGGGTTATTTGATTCCATCAGATCATCCGGCAGTTTCAATCACTCACTCACCAACACAAGGCTGCGCTCTTTTGCTCTCTCCCTGAATGCTCAAAAGAGGTACAAGTAAACTGCAAAATTATGGTTCCTTCATCATCTTTCTTGCTCTTCTTTTACCTTCTTCTTCTTCTTCTTCTTCTTCTTTAGCTTCCTCTTTGTAGTTTATGCTAGCTGATGACTCTTGCTCACATGAAGAGCCGTCTCGCATTGTAGCCATGAAGAAGAGTGTCTCAGAAATGAGTCATGAGAACACAATTCTAGTATAGACGGAGGAAGAGGATGAAAACATGTCTTCTATTCCATGTTCTAAGAAGAGAAAGGTGAGACACAAGGCATATATCAGTACACAGAGGTAAGTGTTGGTGGCGTCCACTGCGATGACATGGATAATATGGCAAACGACAGTCATGTTATGGGGTTGGCTTTGTCACGTAGCATTCTGGAATTTCTCATAATGTAATATATTTCATTTTTCTCTAGTGGTGAATCGATTCTATGCAAATTTTCTTGAAGATGATGCGAGGATGATTTATGACACACATACATTTTAATGTGCCAAAAGAATGAATGAATCTGTCAATCTTCAAACCATTGCAAACTTAAATAATCATATTACTCTCATTATTATTATATATGAATTATTGGATAATTGACTCCACTATACAAGTAATTCTTGGCAATCTTACTTAAGAAACTAAATGAAAGAATGAGAGTTAGAAAGAGAAGGTAGCTTTATCATGCTTAGCCGATCGGAAGACTGTTCAATTTCATGGCCATCAGATCAGATTCTTACAGTAGTTGAAGAAGAAGCAAAATGGATGATTTCAAGCAAACATTCATGAAAGAGTGAGCGATGCACTGCCTACTTTCCTACTAACACAAGGATTTCTCGGCAACTTGGCAATCATCTGAACAAGAAGAAGAAAAAGATAGGATTATAAAGAAACCTTCTGCTTTCCATGAGCACGAAAAAGTTGAATTGTTTTGTAGCGGCAACAATCGTCTTGCTTGTGACTTTATGAATAAGATTGATTACATTAATCATCATGGCACATGTTATGTCTATCGCCTGCCTAAGATTCCCATGGAATAATTATGATTATATTTCATTATCAGATGTCATCATCATAGTTATCATCCGAATGTAATCATGTTCGACGGCCAAGCAAATCGAAAAATCAAATCGAATCGGCTAAATCGTTCACTAATGAATGATAGGAGTCGATTCGATTAGCAAGAACGGATTGATTTTTCAATCGAGATCATCATAACATTAAAAAAAAAAAAAAATTCTTCCAAGCTTTTCTCTTGCTGTTATGATTACGTTATCCCAAACAGTCTTTAAGAGGAAAGGGAGAGAAAGAAATAAAATATATAAACAGATCTAATAGGAGGAGAGGAGATACATTAGACAAAGAAGAACAAAAGCATGAAAAAAAAAGGAGAAAAATTAAAAAAAACATAAGAAGATGAGAAGAAACAGCAGGAGAATACAGAAAGGATAGAGCATAGAAAAGATAAAAAAAGAAAATAATAATATTATAATTATATTAAATAATTACAGTTTTACTGTTCTCCAAATCATATCAGTGCACTTGTTTCCCATGATTTTCTATGATTTGTTCTACTTTTGTCACTGCAATTAAAGTTGGAATACTTCAAAATTCAGCAACTTTTCTAAATAAATAGGAAACTGAGAAAAACTTCAATACATGATTATACCAAAAAGCACAAATCAAGTATATAAGAATAATTAATGTATTTATCTTTCTAGTCGTAAAAGAACAATCTTACTATTGCATATTGTTTTATCGCTTAGTATATATATATATATATATATATATATATATATATATATATATATATATATATATATTGTTCTATTATTTAATTTTCCAGCATCACTTAATTTGGTTTGCTACACTGGCAAAGTAATTGACACAGCCCCACCAGTGATGGAACAAATGCCAGCCTGCACAAGGGGGAAAGGTGACAGGAGCTACAAGAAATGGAACTAATCTGTCACATAATTCATCATGCAAGATCCATAACTTTTACAACAGGTATGAGTTTCTTGAAGATGCTACAATCAATGGACATGACAGATAGAAGTTCACCAAGATTCAATCCACATTGCAGTTCTAATACAGAGCATAATAATTGTCTCAAGGACTGTTGTTTCAGAGATGTTCTAAAATGTGATTGAAAAAAAGGAAAACAAAGTGTTCTCCATAAGTCCAGCCAAGAAGATTATTGGTTTGATCCACTTTGAATTCCCTAATGTTGATGATTGGTCCACCTGATAGTCACAGGTCTGATTTGCTGCATTTACTAGCAATACTATATACACTTGATAACAATAAACAAATGTCATGATGTACTTAAATTCTAGTAGAACATCTCATGATTGTTTTCCACAATCTTCAGCACAAGTTCATTTCTGTAAACTGTAAAAAAGAAAAAGAAAACACTAAAACAAGTTCAAATACACTGCAGAATGTTCAAGTTCTCATGTTGATTAATTACCATTTCAGCCTGTTCAGTTCTAAACCAGAAGGAAATATAAGGCACCAAAAACCAGCTAAGAATCTTCACAACAACTCATTTGTCTTAAATGAAGTCCTAATATTTGCTGAAAAATACCAAGAGAGATAACCTTGACGAGAAACCTGCACTCTGATACTTCTCATTTAACCAGCAGGCATCATTCATGAAGTCAAGTTTTAATTTTCGACTAAATACTTTGCAAGTATTTCATGTTTTCTAAATATCTCACCATGTATCTCTTCACATAACAATGGAAGAGATTGCAAAACCACAGGAAAATAAAGAGTATCCTGATACTCTTAAAGATGGAACAATTCCATACTGCAGAAAATCACATGTTTTAGAGCAGTTGATATCACCTGCAGAAACTGCCAGATTAACTTAAACAACTAGAATTATTTAGGAAAATGTATATTTAAATGAGTGGATCTAGAATGAACCTTCTAGTTACGAAGCAAACTCAGAAGCATTCGACATCAGAAGTGCTGACAGACATTCCATGTTTGAGAAAAGAAAGAAAAATACTACTGATATGGAATAATATTCTGATACATGAATATGTCAAAGTGGAGCTTAGGACAAAAAGGGCAATATGCTGTTGACATAGTTCCATCTATTACCGGGTCAACCTTTGTGTAAATCATTTGAACATGCAAAACTGCAGGGCCACTGAGCGGTTGGATACTAATCTTGCACATTGCGCATTCATAACTTTTCAAACCCACAAATAAAGATAGTTTAAAGATTGCAGATTCTAGTTTCTCTTGAGCTCAGAAAAGACTGGTGCCTTGTAATCGAGTTCCCCTCTAAAGCCTAAAGATCTTCTGTCCATATGCATTTGCTGCAACTCCATACCCAGATGGACATGCTACCAGGAGCCAATAACAGCTAAATAATCAGCTCCACATGGTTAAATCTGCTACACTGTGGTTACTCTATTTTCAGCGTTGGATCAGGACGCTGTCTTTTATGTTCTCGGTCCCCTAAATATAAAGAAACAGAAAGATCTTCATCGGATGAGTTTACAAGTGCCGAAAGGTTCTTCCTTTCGGGGCTGTCTTCTTGGTTTCGATGCATGGGGGACATGCTGATGAAGTTTGGGATGAACTGATGCTCTTCAACATTGGTTGCCACCTCAATGGTATCCACTTGAAATTCAACACCTGTAAAAGAAGGTTTAATTTCTGAAACAGAAGCACCTTCAGGAGGGAAATGTTGTGGGTTGATGCCTAGAGGTTCGTATATCTCATCCATCTTTTCGTTTGGAAGGGTGCACACTGCAGGAGATGATTCATCCACTGTGGAATTAATTGCTGCTACTAGAGTATATCTCTGCTCCCTTAGTGCATCTTTCATCAAGAAGAAGAAAAATGATAAATAAATTATTCAATTAAGAAAAACAAGGGAGATGATGTTGCAACATGACAAGAAATATTTACAGCCTTGTGATTAAGTTAGAAAAGCAAACCTTGAAGTCCTTCTCTTGTGGTTATAAGATCAAGTTCCAAAAGATCAAGAAGACGACCCAGATCAACTCCACTTGTCCAATTCTCAGGACCCTGACCGCTTTTAAGCTTCAACCTTCCCCGGTTGGCTGTCCCACCCCAAATGATGCCTATAGGCTGTGGCTTCTCGCCATCTTGCCCCGACAGAATTATAAGACTCCCACTATCACCTTCCAGATCAAAGGTTTGTTGGTTCTCACCCACAACGAGGAAATCTGTGAAGAAACATATTCCTTTTTCATCATTATACTCTAGAGCATAAGCCATTACGGTGCCAGTTGTCAATCCAGAGCTTCTTCCAACCTTCACCACTTGTCTCCCAATTAAGCTATTAATCGGTGATTGAAGATCTAATACCTTAACATTTCCAATCTCACCCAATCCCTTCACTGTAGTGGTGACACAGGACACATCAAAGTCATCAGCAAAAGGAATGAATGCTCCATCTGCTCGCACAAAAGTTTCTGCAGGTGCATCACGAGGTAAGATGTATATTTGGGAATCAGAACATCATTCGACTCAATAAGTATATGAACCAAAAGAGATGAGGAACCATGTAAGGAAGTATGCGATAATGATATGATATATCTTGGAGGGAAAAATAGCATAGAACACATATGGGTAAACCATCTGATCCATGCCGTCCAAGTTTCATGTAACTCTCAAGAAAATTATTATTCATCATTACATAATCTTATGAACATTTTTCAGGGTTTTAAATACATGAACAAGATTCTAGCAATGGCATTTAATAACCACCAGTAACCTTCTGGACTTAGGGATATATGAAAATTCATACTAAAATGGATGTTCAAGGATCTAATAATTAGAGGTGTAACTCCATGCAATTGCAGGAAAAATGATTTTGAACTATATTACCTGGGTTTGTTCCAGCAAAGATCCCATACCAAACATCATCTGTGATAAAAGATGTTGCCCTTTCAACAGCACCCAAATAGACCCCAGGTCCAAGATTAGGTGGTAAAGGATGAAACATCTTCTGGTTAGGGTAATCCAAATCAACTGCAACGTGACGGTTTGTTAGGAAACCAACTTGTTTGTTACCTGTTCGACTTTTCACGATAGCACCTAAAGTTCCATATGTTTCTTGGCTTGCAACCTGATTATAAGAATAAATAATCATAACTGACAGCTGACATCATTATATAGCATTGAACAGAAGTACAAATATAAGCATAGATCAGACTCGATGGATGTCACCAATGTAGGAGAGAAACAACATATTTCCATTAAATGGTGATAAGTCAAACAAGTGGCTATGAACCTGTATCTGTACATATTTTTGTCATCAGGTATTACAATTTCATTTACCAGTCCTGTTGCAGTTCTTGGGGAGCCACATACACCAGTTGGTCCGGCACACACTGAGCATTATGAGCCAGTCATACCGCTAAGGGTGATTAGGTACACCCTTGGCACGGTACAAAAACCCATACCATCACTCGAGTGAACTGCTAAAGTACATTCAGTATGCCATGGTACGCTGATCAATGCTTGAAATTAACAGAAAGGTGAAACTTATCAAATCTAACATGGGACGTCAAAATCTCCATACAGCTCCCTACTTCATGGAAACTATTGCTTACTGGCTAAAATTTTCTAAGTCCAGACAGACTTGTGGATATCCAGACTCATGCAACCAAATTGATAATACACATAGTAATGGTGTACATTTATTCATCAACCATACTGGACAAACAACTAATCAATAGATGGAACTACTTCGTATGCATATGGTACAATAGTTTTTAGCCTGCTATTCTTAATTTTAGAGTTAACTTAAAAAACATATAAAATTCATATAAAAGACAATATCACCATTAATTACCTGAAATCTACCAATTTCCACCAAAACTCCTAAAAATGTTGTTTTGTTTTAGTGTTTTGCAAGATAAACTCCAAGAGACACAATGTATACATATCAAAGAAGATATATATGTTGTATTCGAAAAGGACAACAATATGCACGTTCTATATTGGCATGAATCAAATATGTCAGCGAACCTGACTCCAGAACATAAGCAGAACTGACGAAGTGTACCTGAGAACCTGAACCTATACATGGATCACTTCCTCGTAGACCATCAACAAGCTCATTGTACAGTTGCTCCTTAGGTGTCGGTGCTGGTGCACCATAATAAGAGAATTCCACAACATCCACATTGCACCATACACCGCCTGGTCCCTATTCAGCATAAAAGAAAACTGCATCAATAAGCATAGCACGTCTTTCAAATCACTGAAACTCTATAAGCACATAAAGAAGCTCAAAAGTCACATGAGCCATACATTCAGTGACAAACTTGTAATGATAAACAAAAATCGAATGACAAACAACTCCCATATTTTACAAAACAAACTACCAGAAATTAAAAAGGAAAAAGAAGTTTACCTCAAGAGCAGATGGTAGACACTGATCATGGTTTAACCATTTTCTATGAACTTTCCGAGCAACAAATACAAGAATTGCAGGGGTACTCGTGAGTTCTCCTTTTCTGATACGAAAGCCTATTGCTGTACCTAGACTATAACGACGCAAAATTTTGCTGTGGAATGCTCTTATAGTCATTAGGTCAAGTAGTGTTGTGGCTTGCTGCCCAGTAGGAAGCCGGCCAAGATGTGCTGGCAGTACTCCTTTCTGAAGGTTCCCAAAATAATTAGCTCGACCTTCAGCAGCACCATGTAAAAGTGTAGAGGTCGGCCAAGAAAAGTATGCAGCGGTACATTCAGAATGTTGACCACCGGATGCAATAGGCTGCAGAGGAGATGCACTGTAGGAATGGAAATGATTGCATAAATTTCTCTCCATGTCCAAGGCTGATTCCTCAGATTGTGTTGACCCTGAGTGATGCCCTTGGGTGTCCGAATGCCTCATTGTGCAGAATTTGTATCCTAAAAAAAAATCCTTGCTTGGCCCACCTCAAGCTGACCTCTGATTTTTCATGATCGAGATCAAAGGCCCAAGAGAGAAAAATCTGGAGAGCTGGACACCTCCAGACACCAGACTTAAAAAAGAAAATATTGGATGTTACACGATCAGTTACCATATTAGTCCAAGAACGAACATTGTAGAAGTTGCAAAATGGTAGACGAATTGCATGAAGAGTGAAAATAACATAAAACAAGTTACAAAGCTCATTTGCTGCTCACTTATGCACATGGAGGATGAAAAGAACCATGGCTTATGAAAGAAGAAGAGCATGCTGCCTATAGCATCTTAGTGACTTTTACAAAAGAGCATTAAAACTCAGCCCCTGCATAACAAGCAATCTAAATCTTAGATAGAAGAAATAGTAGCATCAATCTCTCCAGTATAATGAAAAAAAAAATCACAACTTGAAATATGTGTGCTACAAAAACAGCAATAGACATAAACATATTTTGTGCTTTTACATAAATATTATTTGAAATCTCTTTTTCCATGCAAAATAAGTTCATAAATATGGAACAGAAGGAACTAAAGCAAAGAACAAAATATTAAAGACCAGGATGCATGGATAAAAAGGTAATGCTTGAAACAAAATAAGCCTCTCAGACAAACATAGTCTGTTTACAACATCAAATAAAGGAGAAACTTTTTCCTGTTACTTCCTTTTCTACTTGGATGAACTTCAAGTAGGAAAAGGGTAAGAAATAAGTAATTACTTTGAGCATGACGTGGCATAAATCCGAGAAAACGAATAAAAATATTGACAATTTGGGAACGGCTAGCGTTATTGGTTTCCGCAAAACATATAAACGATCGAAGGAAAGAAACTAAACAAAAGTGAAAAATATTTGGAAAGACAGGCTACGCACAAGTCCTGGGCAACCCTACAACAAAAAGTCAGTCGCTGGCATGCAGATTCCAACAATGTGGAGAAGTAGTCCGTAAAAGCTGTCAAAACACCTACAGGGAAAGGGTATAGTTTTCATTTTCTTGATATCGGTAACGAGACGGAAGACTACGAACTACACGACTGCTTCTAAAAGAAAGGAGTTCGAAACAACACCATTGCGTCTGCTCAACGATGACCAACAAAATGAACCGAGTGGTAGCGCAAGTTGCTCGAAAAAGCTTACCGGAGCCGAATAAAGTGGAGAAAAGGGGACAAAGCATGAATCACAAGGCCGAAAAGGCACAAAGCCGACATCTTTTTCCCAAAGTAGAACTTCGAACGAAATGTATTCGACGAATAAGAAACCAAAAAACCCCAGATCAAAACTTCAAAAACTAAACGATCCAGAAGGGGGGGAATCAGCTTCAGATTAAGAAACTGCAAGGAAGGAGCGTGCCTCTACCATCTAAAAACCACATATTTCGCCTTCTAAGCCATACAACTGGGAGCAAAAAAGGCAATCTTAAGATGATTTCTCGAAAGCAAGAGGGGGGGAAGTGGGTAGGAGGAGGAAACTCTCACCTAGGGCTCAAGGAGGGGCAAGGGAGTCTCCACCAGAGGCAGGGCCTTCCCCTGAGAGGCCCTTGAAGGCTTTTGGGAAAGGTGGCCACTTGGCCAATGGGACAAAGGGGCTTTTTGTAGAGCAAAGGAGAGATTGGGAGAGTGGTGAAGGGAGAAGGGAAGAGGTCGAGAAGGCAGCTTTATTTTACTTCTTTTAAAGGAATAATAATGGGGAAGGGGGGCGGGAGGGGTGGGGACCACAAAACCAGTGAGAAAAGACCAGCCCTTTATTGTGGGCGATGGATATGTATGTCATTCACCCCCCATAACAGCAAGGATCTATTTGCTCTGAATACATACCATTTTACTGATGGCCATTGCATTCATTACATGCAACTTTGATGTCCTTCAAAAATATAATTATCTTTGTTTGTTTCTGGTTTTAATTTTCAGAACATTTATCCACATTCCCAATCTGTCCTGACATCTAATGCTGATAATTTTGATCCACCAGATCAAAGAAGTTGATCCAAACAGCACAAGTTAGGGCAGAAAGCATCCACAATGGACTCAAAACAATTGGGCAGGAAGTCCTGTTTGGGTATCTGATCAAGCAAACATGAGATATGGATATGAGTGTGCCTAACAAAATGTAAGCCTAACAAAATGTAAGTCTATGAAATTGAAGAAAATGTGATCTAATCATTGACCAAAATACTTAAGCTGAAGTTGATAGTAGTACACTCATCAGACCCTTATAGGTCATTCTTAATCCTGCCCACCCCAACAAGCCCCAACATAACCCAGATCAAATCCTAACATAGTGCATAAGAGGCATAGCCTAGTGGTGGCTCCACGCCATGACGAGTCATCTGACTCCGTCTATGATGGCCTGAAATTAATAATAGTACACTCATCAGACCCTTATAAGTCAATCTTAGTCTTGCCCATTTTCGATGTGGGACTAATCAGGGATGTTACATATTTAATCCAATACATGTCATTTTTCTCATCAACACAACAATGGATTCCAGCAATCATCAAACTAATAATCTTCTTCATCTCTTCAAACTCCATTTGCTTGACAAGTCCCAACCAAAAACTTCTAAAAAAAACTGTGCAATGGGAACAAAGATTGCAGGTAAATGTTTATCTCCTATAATTCCTAATTTATACTTACCAAACACTAAATTTCTCACAGTAAATATCAGCAACTTATCCCACATAGTATCATGATGCATATGACCAGATGGCAACTTCTCTGGCGCAAGTTAACAAATAGGAAATACACAATCCCACGGAGAGCCAACCGATCTTTAAATATTTACCCAAGAAAATCCAAATTTGCATCTTTCCATGTAATAGTCGATCCCAAAATAATCACTGCTCCATATACAGTTAAACGTATACAAGGTTCTCTTTGGAGAGATTAAACATTAAAAACTTCAGTAGATATGGTCATCAGAATCATAAGACCAGCTTTGAAAAGAAAATTAACACAAAAAAAAAGAAAAATGGTCAAGCTCTTTGATCAGCTCATATTTTTCTTTGTATCATGCTCCTCAGCTTCTGCATGTTATTGCCATTTCAATCTCTTGGTCCTTTTACCCTCTTACGGATCACACCATACTCAACTTCTTCGTCTTCTACATTTTTCCTCTTTTTTGCTGCTATTGCTTTCCTTGATTTTCTATTTAACAGAAAGAGGGCATTTGGGAGAAGGCTACTAAAAATATAAAAATCAGAAAAAGATGCAAGTTTAATACCATCAGAGCAATCATCTTGGCATCCAATCCATGTCCCACTTCAGTTTCATTCACTGACTACAGTACCCTGGTAGTTTTCTTCCTGCAAAATAAAGGTATTGTAGTTATATCGATGCTTTCACAAGTCACACATGCGATAGCTCATGTCAAGGTAGTGGTGCCAACCGATGAAATACTCTCTGTACATAACATCCACCTGGTGCTGATTCACTAGCCCAGATTGTCAATACATGCAATTCTGCCCGGTCAATGAACATAATCATGCGTTACATCACTCAGTTCAGATTATGACACTATTTGAGTGAAAAAACTACCAGATCAGTCCAAGGCTGAGAATTTTTCTCTAAAATAGTTGCTTAGAAAATAAAGAATTATTTAAAGCACAAAAATATTCTTCGCCAATTAAATTATGAGAAGTACCAAACAATGGCCCAATAAACAAACATGAGACCAATAAATATTTCAAGGCAAAATCTTTGCTCCTAATAATCTTTAACTTAAAATTACATTTTGAAAATAGTTTTTATGCCATATAGGTAACGAACATCACTAAAAAGATAATGTCCAAGCTGCATATTGTTTGCAGATATAGCAGATGCATATAACCTGGACAAAGATCTCAACAAAAGCACCTACCCGATTGTAGCATATCATCCAAAATAGACTTTTAACATTAATAGTATAAGAGGCTCAAATATACTAAATCTTTATAATCTAAATTCTCCTCTAAATGAGTAACTCAACTTTGTTTGTGGTTTAATATGAGAAATTAACCAAGCGCCTTATAAAATAATCCAAATTTGGGCAGAATATATATCTTAAGGGCAACTCTTAGAGAGGGCATCAGCATGGCATGAACTATTGGCTTACAGGCCAAGGAATTTACTTGAGACCAAGTTAGTTCACATAAGCACAAGATAAATAAGACCAAAATTGCTAGTCCAATAAGTTCCTCCAAAATCATCATCATAAAGGCCATATTATGATGATATGATGTTACTCAAAACAATGTGCTCGAACAAACCACCTAGCAGGGTGAAAAAACAAAATAAAATAAAAAAGTATTAATGGAAAAAAAAAGGTTTAAGTAGGGTTTTTAATTTCGACGGACGGTACGTACCGGTCCGACAGCATACCGATATGCGGACGGCTCGGTACCAAGCGGAACGCTCAATATCGTCCCGTATCGGATGATATGGGGGTATATTGGATGATAACAGTCGATTTTGATCGTTACCGATCTGTAACAATGCTCCAATGGTCAAAATGACCGTTAGAGCCCTTTCTCATGGGTTTTTAAACTCATCTTCTCTCCTATTACACTCTATTTCACTCTCGCACTCTCTTAAACTACCTCAAACTCATTTTTTCTCACATTTACACTCTCTTAAACTCTACAAAACAACGATTTGTTAATTGACAATTCAAATGATTTTTCTATAGATATTTCAATATTTACATAAAAGCAATCCGTAACGGACCGAAATACGAACCTAGCACATGGCTATTACTCAAAGTTCGAAAAAGATATGTGATACTATTCTTACCTAATTTACATTTGTTTTGCTAAATTTATACTATTACTATATTTATTTCTAACTTAAAAAATTTATCATAATTTTTTTTTTTTTATAGATATTTTTGGAGGATTTTATGCCTAAATTAGGTGTACCGCTCGGTACGCCCTGACATACCGCTCAGTACGCCCTAGCGTACTGCCCGGTACATAGTACTGTACTGTACCGAGAGAAGCTCAAAACTTTGGCACGGTACGAAATTTTAATCCTTGGTTTAAAGACGAGGGACATTAAGGGCTACTAAAAAGTTATTGATTTGTTGCAAATAAACATACCTACAATTTTCTTTAAATAGTTTAATAATCAACATTTATGTAGATAATAGATCAGCTCTAGCAAACTCAATCAAGAAACTTAAATTGCAAAGGACTTGTAGATAAAGATCAATTGGAAGATTCTTATGCTCAAAAGATCCTATATCTTCCCTAAACCTGTTTGTGCCGGTCCGAAAAAATCTTTCCCTACCAACCAACATAAAGTCCTTTCAGTTATCCGTATGAATCTCCCATTCAGTCATCTGACAAACAAAATTGAGACATTTGAAGGTCCTGCAGATCATAACGAAGAGAGAAATCAGGTGAAAAAAGTTCCTTGAACAAAGATACTATCAAGACTCGCAATTTTCTGTGCAGCGGAACAGATTTCAACAAAGCCTAAACCAATTAAGGGCTTCAGTTAGAGAAAAGAAAGCCACAGTGAACCTGCTAACTTCAGGGGAATAGAGAATCGCCTCGACTTGGATCTTCGTAGGGAACTTCCACCGCAAGCTCTTGCAGGCTTCCGCTCGTTCTTCCCCCACGCCAAGAGCTTCAATGCGACCCGTCGTCTCCCATCGCCCAGGCCTTCCCTAAATCGAACCGCAAGAAAGACGGTAAACGACGCAGAGAGATCGACAACACTGGTGAGAGAAAGACGGTCAGGTGAAACCGTAAGCCCCAACACTAAGATAACGCCCGGGAGAGCAAAGCCTTTTTTTTTTTTTAATGGTCGTTGAGGAAATTACAGATGGTATAGTTACACCTTAAAAATTTTATATAAAAATTTTATATTAGAATCGTTATGATTACGAAAGCATTTTTGATGGATAAAAAGATAATTTTAATATTTAAATTATGTTTTTGATTGTGATCAACGTTCGTATCGTTAGAAGTAGTGGTCGACTATCATGATTGATGAGGGAGAGAGGTGATGAGAAGTGAGGAGATAATGTGCATGCCAATGCCCTGCATCTGCATCGACACCAACACAAATGCAAATGGACAAAAAAGTTGCTCGGTATCTACATCAACGTCGATACAAATGCATATGCTGAGTGGCCCTTTCATCGCTCTGCATTTGTGTCAACACTGACAACGATGCGGGAAAGAGCGATGTCGCTCTGCATCTACGTTAGTGCTGATGTAGATACTAGATGACCCTTTCACCACATTTGCATCGACACTAATGTAGTTACCGAGTGATACCAACGCAGATGCAGAGCAATGAAAGGGTCACTCTACATTCGCATCGATGCCAATGTAGATGCAAAATGACGAAAGGGTCACTCAACATCTGCATCAACGCCGATGCAGATGTAGAGCAATGAAAGGGTCGCTCAACATCTACATCGGCCTTAACGCAAATGTAAAACGACATTGCTCTGCATCTACGTCGGTGCAGATGCAGATGTCGAGCGATCCTCTAGCTACTCTACATCTGCGTCGAAGCCAATGTAGTCACCGAGCGACACTGACGTAGATACAAAGGGTCTACATCTGCGTCATCACCTCACCTCCCGTTGTCAGTTTCTCTCCTCATCCCCAACAGCCACTTGTGACCCCTAGCGACACCGTCGTCTACCACCATCGAAAATATAATTGAGATATTAAAATTACTTTATTGCTTATTATTTTTGTACTTCCATCAATAAAATTAATGACGTTATGATAAATGGAGCTAGATATTTTACTTTTGTAAACATAGGAATTCCAATATAAAATTTTTAAGTTTGGAGATCGGGATATTAAAGAGATCTAATTATGTAATTAGTTGCACAAATAAATGGTAAGAACCTGAATTGTGACCGTTTAAATAGAATACAACGGTTTAGACGTCAGACATGTGGTTATTCTTCTTCAAAGAAGACTAATTTTATTTAAGAAAACTAATATGCAACCGCGTAAAAGCCGAGAGGAGGAAAAGGAAAAGAGGCAAAAATAATTTAGTATATTTTTTTATATGTTTTAAATTTTTCTGATACTTTTTGAACCGACACAAATTATATGATAATTGTATTTATTTTTAATTTTGTAATTTAAAATGAATATATAAATTTTACTAAATAAAATGTATAAGAGATATTTCAGTAAAATCTCGTGTATGTAATCATAAAAGCAAAATAAGAATAATGGCCTGAGTACAGCACAAAACACAGTATGAAAAATTATCCGCTTATAAAATGATTTTGACGTTATTACTTTAATTTTGTCATCCTTTTCAAGGATCGATATAGTTTTTTGTAATGATGCTATGGAAGTCACCTTCTTTCTTCTTTTCTTCTCCCTTTTTAGGTTGTTATACATGTACGTTTCTGTAGTTCATATGCTTGACCCCAATAACTAAACATGGAGACATACACAAACTCATATGCGAAAGTGATGCATGCAGCAAGAAGATCTCACAATTTGCAAGGGCAGATACTGGGTTGACTCAATTTGCAAGAGCAGTATCTGCCAAAAGCTATAATGGAACATTACTGGGTTGACTCAAAACCTAGAAAATTAGGAGAATATAATTAAAAAGTAACATACTGGTATATTTGGAAAACTATCTTCATGTTGTCCCCTGCACTGCAGAAGGAAAAGTTGACGTTTCTGAAGGGAAGCTATTTCTTGCAGAGCCTACTACAGAATAGTCCCAAACAGCAATCCTCGAGACACAACAGCTACTGCTAGACCACTAGTGGACTTCTTTCAAAAAGATTAACAAATAGGAGAATGCATTTTTGACGAGCAATTACTCAAAATGTAATTACATGTTCAAAGACAGCAAAACCAAGTTTCATGCAATCCTCCATTGCAAACAAAAGGGTAGGATCAATACCAAAAACAAACAAAAAACAAATAAGACCCTAAGCCAATCTGAATATTTTGCACTTTGCTTAACTAGCAATGCTCATCAACTGCTGTACAATGGCCAAAGCCAGTGACCACACAAATCTAATTTTTATAAGAAAATTCAACAAGACATTGCTCCATCCATCGGTCAAATTTTCTCTTTTTTCCCTCCCATCTTAAAAAAAAATCAAAATTTTGTTATGTTTAAACACAAGGGACTCGAGCGATCAAGTTAATACCTCTTTCCAAGAATTATCCCAATGAACATTGACACTAGAGCTACTCCTAAGATGAACTTGAGTGCCATGGCTCCGGAAGCCTCTTCATCAATTTGTGTAGCTAGATTTAGAGATTTTGTTTCTAGAGCTTGATTCATGTGGTTGTCATTGTTCTCTTTGATGTTCCTCCCATACATGGTTATTGAGGTTCCCAGTCCAAGATCTCTTGATTTTGCTTCTATTTCATTCTGCAATTCACCTTCTGCTGTTTTGTTCTGAAACTGCAAGATCATTGGAATAAATTTGCTTACATGAGCAATCATATTAAAAGCTTGTGCATATTAACATTGGAAAAGCGAATATAACAAGATAAGAAGGACCTATGGTTCTAATGACTAAGCAAATGGGTTTCTAACACAGATAAGATCTTGCAAAGGTGATCAGAGAGAGTTTTCCTCTCAGGTTTTTCTCTTACTACAAGCATCATGAGCTTTCACAAATGGTGCTTAGGATGGAATTCTGGGTAAACCAAAGATTGTAAATATTTTTTTTTTATTTTCATATAAAGAAAAATGATTTGTCATCTTCTGTAGACATAGACTACAAGCCAAGTATGTAAATCTTGTGTGCTCTTTCCATTATTTCTTACATCATTATTCTTTTGGGATGCTTCTCTGCTTGTGCACACTTGTTCTTGATGCCTATTCTGCTGTGACCCACCAATTGTTAAACTTTTGAAACTCAGAATAGGTCGGTTTATATATTTTTATTGCGACGAGCTGGAGATGGTTGCAAATATCAACACTGTCTTGGCAAAGTAATCCTAAACTATTCTGCAAGGATTCATTATGACTGAAGGTGACTATTGTAGTACATGGGGATGGCTATCGTAACACATGAGGGGCTATTGTCTGACCTCTCTCTATACTTGAACAAAGCAGGAATTACTAATGTAGGTCAATCTATTTCTACACATTGTCAATATTTGACACATGAAATTATCACTCTTACTGTTTTTCTTGGTAAAATAAGAAAGCCAGATGAATGAACACCATAGCTTATGTCTTGTTGTCAGTGAACTTTATGTATTTTCTGTATTTTCAAGTAGGATAATGATGAGATGGATGACGATATCTAGGCAGTCAAGGAAAATCATAGGATGCACTCCAGAGGACTCTTCTCTCGCATCTTTTACTTGTTGCAATTGATCATCAAATAAAGTTCCAGACAGGCTGCAAAATTTCTCCAACTTCTGCCATTTTCATGCTACAATACACATGATAACTTTTGTATTTTACTCCTACCATCTCAAATCTGCATCTGTTATACTGTGTTTTCAGTTATCTTAATCTGCTACACCACTGACCACGTTGTTCTTCAACTATTAAATAACTGGCACAATGGTTTGAATTCATATTTATCCTTCAATGACACTATTACACATTCTCTCCCAGCATAGGTTGTGCTACTTCCAATCTAGCCACTTTGAGGCATTTGATAAGAGGAATTTTCCTTATAAATCAAACTGCTGTCTATAAAACACTTGAATCCTAACTGAAACATGGATCTTTCTTCACCTTAGATCGAACATGTGTAATTTGGATGGAACTTGTCTCAGCCAATCATTAGAATTTGATTTTATTTTGTTTAAGTATAAAAAAGTTTTATGCTCTAATCATTATAACAATTTATCCAGTATCCAAATGGAGATTCTTGAACTTATTAAAAAAATTATCCTTCCACAACAATACAACTCGTATCTCAGATTCCATAATTTGTAGTTTGCACACCACAACCCACATAATAAGAGAGCATAATAAAGGGGAATACTGTTATAAATATAAAAAAAAATGCCAGGAGTAATGTCAAACAATGACTATTCTCTCAAATAAATAAATAATAACTAGCTATCTATGTGGTTGTGAATCTTATGATGGAGAAAAGCAGATGATCAGTTTGGCAGTAGTCGTGAAGATTACCTGCTCTTTTATGGTCCTATGTGCTATGTCTAGATCACTCTGAACTTTCTTTAGCTGTTGAATTAATGTATCTCTCTCTTCAATTATGCATGTGTGCTCCTCTAGTTTAGGAATTAGTATAACATCCTTCTCCACAACTGTTGACCGCATGCCTTCAATCTGAGATAAAGAAATCAATAATGCACATCAAGCAACTTTTGTTTGCTAGACACCTGCATCTTTTGAGGAAAAACATTGAACTAAAACTACCTCTTCCATGTAACTTTTTTGGGCAAATAATAGCTTGCTTTCAAGTTCTGAAATTTGTTCTTGCATCAGAGATTTATCAGCTAACTCTGCTTTAAGAATCTTCATGTCAGCACAGAGAGAGATTTCCTTGGTCTTCTGTTCACTTAATTGTTCTTCGAGCTGGATTATAATTGCTTCAAGTTCTTTTTTTGTCTTTTGGTACGATTCAGTAAGCTTGTTATACTCCTCCTTGGCAGCAGTTATCTGTTGCAGCATATCCTCTTTTAGATGAGAAATAGTTTGTCTGGTCCTTTAAAAATCAAAAGTAACATGTGAAAGTAATTATATAAATTTTACAAATGATTTGTTGTGTAGCATGGTAGTTATCTACTTAAAAATGGACAATATATAACCAATAACCTGCAGTTGGTGTTTCTCTTTATCAGAGTTAATCTGCTGCATGAGAACCTTCATTTCTTTCCGAGAATCATGAAGCTGAATGGATGTAACTTGTTTCTCTGCAACAACAGCATTAAATACAATTTTTAACTCGTTTATCTTTGTCTTATATATTGCCAACTCCTGAGACATGGTTAAATTTTCTCCCATTAAATCTTCATTCTCAAGTTTGGATATTTCTGAGCTTATTTTCAGATGTTCAACAAATGCTTCCAAGTTCTGTAATTTTAAAAGAGTGTCTTCCAGCTTGTCCTTCCGGCTTGATGCAATGGCAGCTAATTCACTAGCCTGTTCGTCATGACTTCTCAATTGTGTTTCAAGAGCAAGCAGCTTCTCAATCAAATCTCTAACTTCAGAATCTTTCTGTTTGAATTTCTCTATAGTTTCATGCAGTTGGACTTCGGTTTCTCTAAGACGATATTCAGTGGCAGATTGGAGTTCCAAATATGTTGAATTTTCATCTGTTAACTTTGAGATGGTTTTCACATGAGAGGCGAGTTGTTCAGAAGTTGCCTCCATCTCTGCATGATTGGTGTTCAACAACTGATTAAGCTGATTAAGTTGGAGTTGACAGGCTGCCAACTCTAACCTAAGCTTTGAATTCGTCACAGCCATCAGTTCATTTTCCAAAGATATTTGTTCAGCTCTCAGATCAGATTCTAAAACTTTTTGGTTAAGCTCCTCGACTTTGTTATCAAGGGATACCAATTTCATTGCATTTGCTTCCAACTCTGCCTTTAGTGAAGCAACTTCTTCATTAGATTCGAGGGCGTGATCTTTGTATAATGTCTTTTGTTCTTCCAGAAACTTTAACTTTTCATGCAATTCCTTAAATTCAGACTCCTTTTGATTAAATCTCAGTGTTGCTTCTTTGAATTTGAACCCGGTATCCTTGTCTAAAGATTCATTCAGTGAATTCATCTCCAGGTTTCTGGTATTAATATCTTCTACAGCCTTTCCATCATGCTTTAACTGTTCTCCAGTAGATCTAAGCTTCTCAACTAGCTCTTTCTCTCGAAGACTTGAGGCCTGAAGTTGTTCCTCAGCACTTTCCAACTTTGCTCCAAGAGATTTCAATTTATTTTGCAATATCTGGATAAGATTCTCAGCTTCAGAAAGACTCTTTGCCTGAATATTGGATAAGTCTTCAAGTTTTTTTCGGTCTTTAATTGTGGCATCCAAGGCATCAGTCAACTCGCTCTCTTTTTCATTTGCAGCTTGCAGCACAGATTCAAGACTTTCTGATCTTGCCTGGTATGCTTCAATTTCAGCAAAAAGCGCAGATACCTTGCTGCTATATTGTTTTAATTCTGTTTCTGTGTCTCTATATTTTGCCTCCATAGTTGCCAGTAGCTGTTCCAGCTCCTGTATTCGATAATTAGCAGTTTCCAGCAGTTGCTCTAATTCATCAGCTCCTGTTACAGCATTCTCAGTTTCAAAATGAGATGATTGTGCCTTGTCTCCTAACTCAACATTGCTTTGATGTGCTGTAGTACCCTGCTTAACACACTTTTCAATCTCAGTTTTAGAATGAGATGTTTGTACCTTGTCTTCCAGCTCAGCATTGCTTTGATGTGCTGCAGTAGCCTGTCCCTCATGCTCTACACACTTTTCAAGAAGACAGTTGAGCTCCTTTTCAAGCTCTGTGTTCCTTCGAAAAGACTTGCTCAACGAAGATTCCAGTTGGCCAATCTTGTTCTCATATCCCTGAAAGCATAGTCTTGATAGTGAATTTTCCTCATCTATTTTTCTTAACAAAGTAGTGAGCTCTTTCACTTGATTATTCAGATCCTCTATCTCACTCTCTGCTTCAAGGCATCTCATCTCTGTAGTATTAAATTGTTGCTTAAGCTCCATATTGCGTTTTTCAGCAGAGAATGATCTCATTTCACTCTGCCTAAGCTTTGTTTTTAGGCTCTCTTCAGCTAACTTTGATGCCTGAACCAGATTCTCCAGCTCAAGGTTTCTCTTGGTAGTGGCATCCATTACTTTTTTCATATCATGATGGAGCTCTTCAAAAGATCTCTGATTTTGTTCAAGCTCTTTGTTACGCAATAATGCTTGTGAAAGAAGTGAATCTGTCTTGTTAAAATTCTGATCAGCCAGATTTAGATTCGCTTCAAATTGTCGGCATTGCTCCTCGTTCATTGACAATTTCATGCTAAGGTCTGCCACAGTACTTTGAAGAGTCACCTTTTCCCTGGTTAAATCAGACAAGTCCTTCTGTAAACTTTGAAGGGTCACCTTCTGCCACAGTACTTGGTTTTTAAAACTAGCTCCAATTTTCTCTTGAAGCTTCAGTTCAATTTCCTCCAAGTTCGCATGCTTTGCTTTGAGTTCTTCTTTGGATGCAGCAAGTAAATTTTCTAATTCAAGAACATGTGTTTTCATCCGTTCTTCAGAAGCCTTATGTATATTTAATTCTTGGGTAAGCTCATGAATGATAGAATCCTTAGAAACAAGTTTCTGTTCGAAATCTGCTACTGTTGACCTTGAAATCTCCAACTTTTCCTGAATTGTTGAAAGCTCTACTGCATTGGCGTGCAGAACTCCTTTGACATGCTGATTCTCTGCAATCCTTTCATAGAGTCCCTTCAATCCTTTTTGTAAATTATCCATCTGACCTTCAATCTCCTTTGCTTTAAATTGTGCTAATTCCAACATGTTCCCAAACTGTAAAGCTCTCTTTGATTCTAGCTCTGCCTGTGAACTACTATGTTTGCTGAACTCTTCAAGTTTACACATCTCATTTGCTGATGATACCAACCCTTCTTGAAGCTCCTTCATCTTTTTCCTCGAGCTCTTGAGCTCATCTGCCAACCCCGTGAATGCTTCCTTTACCTCAAGAAGCTTCTTATGCTTTGTATCATTTGATGTCAGTGCTTCTAAAATATCATCTTTCATTGCCTTCTGGTAAAGTTCATGTTCTTCGCAGTATCTGTTCATTTTCACTAACTTCTGATTTGCTAGATGAAATTCTGATTTTGGTAAGGATTTTTCAGATTCTGAAAGTTCCTGTCCTCTCCCAGATTCTTCAAGCTGAAGTTCAAATTCTTTTTTCTTCTCCATTACCAGCAAATTCACATTTGCCACTCTATTTCTTGTTTTCAGATCTTCAACACTTGAGGCCTCTTCCACTTCCGATATTTGTTTAAATAGGTGGGAACTCTCTTTTGCATATATCGACTCCTCAAACTTGCTGAATTCTCCATCTAATGAAGCCTCCTCTTCCACATATCTATTTCCTTCTTTTTGCAGTAAGTCTGATTCCCCATAAGTTAAGATGTGTTTTCCATCTCTGTCTACCTATGACCAAATCATAAAAGGAACAGGCAGGTCATGTATCTGGCATCTTTCATGAAATTTAGTAGCGGGCAAGTCTAAAACTGCTTGACAAGGTCTTTTTATTTACCAAATTATAGATATATGCAATAAGAGCACTTGAGATATTCTGGACATCAAGAAAGGTAACCATTGCAAGTTTCATTAAGTAGCACTAAATTAAGTGCATATTAATCATAATCCATTCTTGTCAAATCTGGGATAAAACTCATAAATGCTCACTTTCAAAATATATTAAAGCTGGAGGGGAAAAGCTATACTTACGCGGGATTCTTTATCATATGATGTGACTTCTGCATGAATAACGAAGGCTATGTTATGTCCATTTAATCCTTTTCTGGTTTCATATCTAATATTTTAATAGTGACGAAGTCAGCTATTCTTTAATAGCAAAACTGCTGCAAGGTTCAAAGGTACATGAATACCTACCTTTCCCCTTAATTTAAAAATAAGTCACCATAAAACCAATGGTGATTTCCCAATATTCTCTTCTTTAAGCCTTTTGATAATATATACATATGTTATTCACGTTACACGAGCATCAATACTCTCTTTAAATCTCCAATCCATCTTCAATTATCTGTGATAACGAGATAGTTCTAATATATTTCAAGTTTTATGTCTGATCTTTTGGTCCTATTTCAAATGGATCATGGGGAAATGCTCTAAATTTTATTTCTTGGAGAGCCAAAATTGTCAGAAATCATTGGATTACAAAACTTAAATTCAACTGCTCTCAAAAGAAGGGGAAAAAGAATTGACTTATACCAACATTGGTGATTTTGACTGCCTTTGCAAAAACTTGTTGAAAACAATGACGCAAGGAGAGTTAACATCAACTGCTAATTGCTTAACTATATCAAGATAAAGGGAGCAAAAATACTTCTTCATGGAATTTTTCCTTTCCTTTTTATCATAAGGGCTCCACCTTACACAACTGTGATTTCAACAGACCTTTCCCAATAAGCCAAGCACTTGAATAACACAAAATAAGCACTGATGTAGAGATTACCCCCTTTGGCTTATATATTCCACTAAAACAAGAATATAATTCAGAATATTTCTATTTTTTTAAAGAAAAAAGAATATAACTCAGAAAATGAATTTATGCTTGTGTTTGAGAATATGGACTAAAATAACATAGTTCAACACATTTATGTTATTTGCATCTTGCACCATACCAAAAAAAAATTACCACAAATAAATATTTGAAAATTTTAAATTTTGTTTCAAGATTGGAGTAAATGTCTGGCGATTAATTTGGTGGCTAAAATTTAAAAAGTTCACTATTGCATCACCTTCAAATCCTAGGAAGTGGACCACATAGATCGATCATCATTGAGGAGAGTTTCCCATAAGACCCTCGAGGTTTTAGGGTCATACAAAGGAAAATTTTAAACAAGTAGGCTGTAGATGCAGGATAGTATTAAATCTTTTAGTCGTTAAAGAACAATACTAACTTAATTATGGTGGATTTTCAAATACAATTCATTTAAGCAATTTACTTTAAATTCCAATAGTAGTTAATAATCTATTAAACTTGACCCTTTTCTTTCCCCATGGAGGATGTGAAATTGGATTTAAATTGACCAAACAGCCAACTCAAGCTGAGTTTGAATCATTCTAACATTTTCCTACTGACATGCAACCAACCGCATGGTCAAGACATAGACTGAGATCAGGTGTCATGGACGATATTGATACGGTGCATATGATGTTGGAATCAGATCAACCTCGTGAATTATGGTTTAAATAATTGTCTCGTGTAAGGGATTTATTTACAAAAGAAATGTTACATCTTATTCTCTTTGTTTCAACAAATGGAAATATTCAAGACAATGAGTGTACTGAATTCTACAACAAAATGAAAATATTTGTGATGATTTTGGCATGTAAAATTAGATATCTATTGGTTCTCTAATCCTATATAATTCAGTAGCACTTTAATTTTAACACAAATGGAAGTCACCAAGAAGGAGATTATTACCAATAGATCAACTTCCGAAGATGGCTCGGCTTCCACGTGGTCTGAAGTTGCTTGTGACTCTTCTGTCATTATGATCTCAGTTACTTGTCAGATGGCATGACAACCTATGACATTTAACCATATTTAGGTATGCAATCTGGTACCTTCTAATCAAATAATCATGTAGAACTTATTACAAGAAAATATCTATTGAAATGTTAAAACCCATTGCCAAGTGTTGGCTCCCGTATATACACATAAGTAACAAATTACTGAAAATAAGCACCCAATGTATTCTCATGCACACCAACACAAACTTTTGAAAACCGAGGCACATCCAGGTTTAACGATGCAGATTGATTGTGATGGCCCCATCTAAGCCGTCCAGTGCAGGCCTTTGATCACGCGTAGCAGGCGGTTGGTCCCTAGTCAATTGTTGATGAGCCATTCGCCCCGTCAGCGGGGCCCAATGGGTTCCCCAATCACTAGAAAGGTAGGTGAGCGGGTACCGGTGGCAGAGGAAAAAAAGTGACTTTGTTCGGTCATGATGGCTTCTTTTAAGCAACGTGGTGGGGCGGCGGATTTGATATTGTCACCCGACTCAGAGAGCAGAGCTACGCCAACAGTTTCATCATGCAAGGGGTACTACGAAACGGGCATTTCGGACCTAGAAGGCAAAAGCGAGCCCTTAACTTTCGCGTTAGGGGTACTCGGGGAACAAAATTATCCCGGGTGGAAATATAGCAGAAGAAGTTGGAGCATTCTGCGAACAAAAAGCCGATAGGAGTACGGATGAAGACACAGTTATGGTCGCTTCCCCCGGAACAATGCTCGAATCGCCAATCGATAGTGGCGCTTTAAACTGTCGTAAAGATCGGCGTGTTCGATCGACGATACAACAGAAAAACTAGAAAGAATGGCATCGATTCGAGTTTTCGTGAAACCTTCGAGCAATATCGAGAAAACCCATATGCTCCAAGAAAGAGAATCCCCAAGAAATCAAGATCAACTGCTGGGAGCGAAACAGAGCAACAATGAGGTAAACCTAAGCGCTTCATGCGATCTACTAATTACTGGCAAGAAAGAAGGAGAAGAAATCGAGGAAAAAAAGCGCATTCGATGGCATCGAAACGTAGATTTGAGCGGAGACGGAGAGCATTGCGTCACCTGACCGGGAATCGGTTGATCCGAGGACGATAGTCTTTGGAACGGTCTCGTCGGCCTCTTTCCCTCGTCCGTCCGGTGGCGAAAAAGTTGATGCGGGAGGTGACGGAGCGCGAGGTAAAACAATTTATAGTAGGAGTGTCCAGTCACCGCCAAGCAACAAAGGTTCGGTTACCGCCTCGGCGCGGCGTGGCCAAGAGTTCTTGAAGTTGCCCCTCGGGAGGGGTACTTCGGGAAGGGCAGTGGGACCCGCAGGGGCCCGGGCGGGTAGGTGGAGTGCACGTGGTAAGGATCAGACGGCGAGGTCCCTTCGGATGGGTTGGCAGATCCCGTGCAACGCTCGGTGGAAAGGGAAGTCCATCGGGTGGCCCACCGCTTTACAACTGTCCCCAGTCTAAGTTTACATCCGCGTATCGGATGGGATGTCCATTTCTCTTCAAACCCAACTTGCAGAGAATTATAGATTTCTTTTTCCTCACAAAATAAAAATTGCATCAACAAATTGCAATTCCAAATAAGCTTTTGGCTGAGTGTAAAACCAGCTTTGACTAGTAGATATGACTTTTAAATTATAAACATATAATTAATTCCTGCAATTTGACCCTGGAAATCAATTTATTGAAATGGATGATGATGCTTAAGAAGTGGAGTAGGGGAAGAAAGGTGAAGTTTTTGTGCCATCAGACAAGCTTAAAGTGAGTGCTGATTGATTGTGAAGTCAGAAACCCAACTCTTCCTGCTAAACTTCTCAGCATATGGAAATAGTATTTCTTCTTTTTTATCTTCTCTTCTTTTTCCCTGCATATCCATTCCTCTGCTATTGTTGTTGCAGTATGATTGAACCAAGTGCTTATCCTACTCTTAAGTTCTTGAGTTTTTTACTGCTCAGCTAAAGAGACTCAATAGAATAACTGATTCATTAATTTGATAATTTTAGGATCATATGATTCAAAATATTGACTCAAATTAATGGTAGTAGACTTGTTTAGCCATTCTAAGTCTATTCATACTATATTTCAGTTCGATATTAGAGTAATCGGGATATAACATCCTCGCTTTAAATTCTTGTATAACATGGAATAAAACTCTAAAACGATACATATGAGACACTAGTTTTTTTCTATTTGCTCTCCTTATAGGTTTTGATATCATTCATCATAATATGTTTTAATAGAATAGCTGACTTATTTAATTGATAGACCTAACATCACATGATCCAAAATATGTAAACTCAAGTTAATAAATAATATATTTTATTTAATACTAATAAATATATTTAAATTATATTTTTGATTTTATAGGGCTAAATGGAGGTATCTTCAGCAGGTTTCCATCTCTCACATGTGGCTCAATCTCTGAAATGTGCAGGTCTTTGTTCAACAATCTACAAAGCATCAACACATGAGCAGTAAACTGAGACCACACATCCACTGCACAATCATTTAAGAGGCACTGAAGAAGAAACAAAAGGGTTGGATCAGTGACCAGTCACATTATAACAATGGGTCCAAACTACTACATTGATCACTTTCTTTCCTTTTTTCCTTCTGAAAAAAACAGGTTTTCTTTAAAGTCAAGTCAAGTTTGGGCAATCAAGTCAGGTTTTAGGAAGAACTACTGGAGACCCACTTCACTTCTTGTTTTCCTCCCACCTCCAACTAGCAATTCTCTTGTGTGAACATTCCTTCCAGCTTGATAAATCTTGGTTTCTTGATTCTTTTAGTCTCTTGTTTCTAGGAAGCTGCAAGCTTTCATGTTAATAATGGTTGGCATGCTCTCTTCAACATGCTTTCCAGCTTGCTTCTTTTATGGGAGAGGAAGCACACAGACTTGGAATCTGCAGCCTTCCATTTCCTACTGATCTTTGATTATTATTTGCCATGGTTTTATTTTGACCTCAAGCAGGCACTTGGAAAACATATAGCTCTTTGACTTGTTCTTGGATTACATGCTGTTCCATCCAACTTACTTGCTCATATACAATGGGATCAACAAAAAGAACATTAATTGTAAGAACAAGAAGATGGAGATAGCCTTTTGCAGCTGTTTGTTGGACCAAAAACCATGATTTCATTCTTCTTTTTACTACCATTAGAAAAAATTATAATTCTTCCATTACATCAAGAAGATATATTATTGTCTATAAATTACTAGTCATCTCAGTTGGAATTGAATTGATTTGTTGTGTGAAGAAAATATCATATATTGAATTTATAGAAACAAAAGATGTAATTATGATAAATCATTTTTTTTAGATATCACACCCAAATAATAACAACTAAAATAAGACATCTCCTCTTTAGTAACCAAATAGGATCCTACTAATTTATTGAATTATCATTAAATATTATATCTATAAAGCTGTAAAAGTAATGTGCAGCCTTTACAAAGGAACAATAAGTCCATCTTCATTCTTGGGAGACCAAACCAAATAGAAACCAACTTGCCCTTTGCTTCTCAAGAACAATAGAAACAGGGAATTTTATGATTTGTGTTGAATCCAACTTAAATAGCCCATGGATTTGTGTTTTTGATGTGGGAGAGCATTGTTATCCTGAATTGATTGGTGAAATTTCTACACCCAATTATGATTATTATTTTTCAATATTGATATTATATTACTATCATTATATATTAATTATTCTTATTGAATAACCAGAGGTCTTGTAGAATCCGTTCACCTACTTCGCCATCACTACGAACACCGAGTTGGCTACCTTCCTTACGGTTGGAGGAAATATTGGGGCCACGCGGGCCCCATTCGACATTGCTGCAAACAGAACGCAGTTTGCGGAGAGGGTACGTTTTCCGGGAAGAAAGAGTGTTCCTTTTAACACATAAAATTTATGGCGAGAATCCATGAGCGCAGAGATCACGCGCGAGTCGTTGGCCGTCCGATCCTCCATTCGATAAATCTTGACCGTCGAATGGATGCCCCAATACAGCGGGCAAAGCCACGGCGGTCCGCCGAAAGCCACAGAGGCGCATAAAAGACGAGAATATTCGCGACCGAAGAGCGCACGTTAGCACGCGCACTTCTCCTCCTCCTCTTTAAACCCTTCACTGAGCTCCACTTGCCTCCGTCGATCGATTCGTCTCCTCCTCCGCCTCCTTGGATCGATTACTTGGTTCTTTCGGTGACTAATTTGGTGGAGAAATGGCGACGAAGAGGAGCGTGGGTGATCTCAAGGGAGACGACCTCAAGGGGAAGAGGGTGTTCGTGCGGGTGGATCTCAACGTGCCGTTGGATGACAACCTGAAGATCACCGATGACACCCGCGTCCGTGCCGCCGTGCCGACCATCAAGTATCTGTTGGAGCACGGCGCCAGGGTCATCCTCTGCAGCCATCTGGTCGTCCTCTACCCCCTTGAACCACTCTTGTGCTCCCCGATTAGGCCTTTTATTAGGGCTATCATTTATCCGGTCTATCTCGTACTTAGTTTATTATTTTCCTTTTTTGGTGGTTGATTGTTTGGATTTCGGCTAATTTCCGTGGTTGTGTGTTCTAGTTTTATCTGAATGGAAACTTCCTCCTGAATAAATCAAAAAGGCATATATCTCAGTGTGTGATTTGTTGTTAGATTCCTGAAGTTCGGACCTTTCTGGTTTTCTCTTGTTAATGGGATAACTTTATATATATATATATATATATATAATCTGCTGCTTTGTGTAATTTTGATACCTCTTTCTGATTTTTTTTTCTCTTGTTTAATATGATAGTTTCATTTCCAAGAATGTGATTTGCCGTTAGTATCTGAAAGCTTTGTTCTTTCTGTTTTTCTCTTGTTTAATTTGAGATTTATGTTTCTGAGCGTGTAAGTTGCTATTGGCCTCTAAAAATTTTAATCCTTTAGGAGGACGAACAAAATATACCTGTATCATACCTGTATGACTTTTATGAGATATAATTTTCTTTTATAAATCCCTAAGCAACAAAATCAAGATTTCTATTTTGTGTTCATGTTGGTTAAGAAGAAAAATGTTGCCTTACTCATGTATAAATTGATGACAACATCATCTTTCTTTTTTCATTTCTTTTGAAGTTGCTCGTAAATCCAAATTGTATCATGGCAATTGGCATACAAGAACTGCCTAATTTAGTGGCTACCATATGCACAGTGTACATTTGGTACTGCTGTTAACATGACATGAGCAGGTGTGTCCTATAACAGAGAGGATCTGGAAAGTTGGGTCCTAGTAGTTGTTGTTTATTGAGACACCTTGCACGATAGAGATGCATATGGAATAGCTGTTCCTTCAAGCAACTTCCCAGTGACTGCACCTGTAGCTTAGCATAAAGTTTGTCATTATCATTTCCTTTCATGCTACCATCGACAACGATGTCACTTATCGACTTATTTGATTCCCACAACATCACTCCTGGATTTCATGGTATATCAAGCTGTCCTTTTGGCCAATGCAATGAACAAAATATAGCATCAGAAAATCCTGATTAATTGTTGAGGTTAGATTGAGTATGCTTCTTTTTGGTGGTGTGCAAAAGGCTCATGCATGTGTTTTTCACTTGAAAAAATCCCTGGTTTTCTTACATTAGCTCTTGTGAGATGAAATTTATTAATGCCACTCTTTTATTGTATACTAAATTCACAAATTTTATCTTTTTGACCAAATCTTCTTTTTTATCATGATGTTAGCTTTCTTTTTCTGATATTTTTATTTCCTTTTTCATGTGTTCATGTTGGTTAAATATTTCATGCAGTATTTCATGAATGATCTGATTGCTTTCGAACTCGTTGGGTCATGTGCCTGACACGACAGACCTGCTCCAGTGTTTGCATGATTCATTCTTCTTTTACTTCTATGAACCATTCCTACTTATTTCAAAGACTTCACCCAATTTCTTTGGCAGAAGATCAGTATGGAACTGATGGCATGGTATCACTTTTCAGGGCCGCCCTAAAGGTGTCACCCCAAAATACAGCCTGAAACCTCTTGTGCCACGGCTCTCTGATCTTCTTGGTGTTAATGTATGTATGATTGTGTTTTTAGCTAAGTCCCTTTTAAATTTAAGTACTCTTGGACTAAATTTTTTTTTGAGATCTAATTACTTATGTAGGTTGAGATGGCTGATGACTGTATTGGTGAGGAAGTTGAGAAGATTGTGGCTGCTTTACCAGATGGAGGTGTTCTACTTCTTGAGAATGTTAGATTCTACAGAGAAGAAGAAAAGAATGCCCCAGAGTTTGCTAAGAAATTAGCATCTCTGGCTGACGTCTATGTCAATGATGCCTTTGGGACAGCTCACAGGGCTCATGCTTCCACTGAGGGAGTTGCCAAATTCTTGAAGCCAGCTGTTGCTGGCTTTCTGATGCAGAAGGTATTTGCTCATTTCACAGTGTAATGTACTATAAGATTATTTAAATTGTGTGCATTAGGTTCCAGACACTTTTTGACAGTTTGTAACTAATTCTGTCATGTCACTTGTGATTGGACCATTCTTGCTTTTGTTTCTACTAAATAAGTAGACATTACAGTTTTCTCTTATCATGGAAAAATGTGCTATATGATTATATATTTTCTAGGATATTTGTTGTTTATCAAGTTTTAGCCTAACACTGAAGATAAGCTTTTTCTCCTTTCAGGAGCTTGATTACCTTGTTGGAGCTGTAGGAAACCCCAAGAGACCATTTGCCGCCATTGTTGGTGGCTCTAAGGTTTCAACCAAAATTGGGGTGATAGAATCACTGTTGAGTAAGGTGGATATCCTCCTTCTAGGTGGAGGAATGATATTCACATTTTACAAGGCACAAGGATACTCGGTTGGATCATCTCTTGTGGAGGAAGACAAGCTTGATCTTGCAACCTCACTTCTCGAGAAAGCAAAGTCTAAAGGTGTTTCTCTACTGTTACCGACTGATGTGCTAATAGCTGACAAGTTTGCTGCAGATGCAAATAGCATGGTATGTCCATCTGCCTTTTGGATAAATTGAGCAATTTTTGTGATGCATAACTCACTTATTAGGTATGTGGAGATAACTAATAAACTAATAGCGATTAGAAATCCAGCATTTGAATTAGTTTTAAGTGGATCTAGTCCATTTTGTAAATCTTTTTTTCTCTAGACTTTCTTATAGTAGGGTAGGCCATACTTTTATTTGGGAAGAGACCAAGGAAAATGGAAATGTGTGACTGGTACCCATGTCAGTGTTTGGAAACCTTTGGAGTCCAAGTGGAAGCCACAGTGACACAGATTAACAGGAAACTGTGGGGTTTACTTAGTTGTTACTTAGTATGTTTTGTTGTGTGAACCTCAACGTTCACATTGACAACGTTAGGATTGATGAATATAGTTTCAACTATGTGGCATTTTAGTTTTATACTGTATAAATTCTAGTCTGACACTTCTCTCATTCCATCAGGTTGTACCGGCTTCTGGCATCCCTGATGGATGGATGGGTCTTGATATTGGTCCCGACTCCATCAAGACATTCAGTGAATCCCTGGATACCACCAAGACCATCATATGGAATGGACCCATGGGGGTATTTGAATTTGAGAAGTTTGCACTTGGAACTGAGGTAAGTAAAACAAGTAGATCAATGCTTGCAGGTTATTTTGTTCGGACATTTAAGTATGAATTACTTCTATGCACAGGCAATCGCAAAGAAACTGGCTGAGTTGAGTGCATCTGGGGTCACAACCATCATTGGTGGTGGTGATTCAGTGGCTGCCGTAGAGAAAGTGGGGCTTGCCGACAAGATGAGCCACATTTCGACTGGTGGCGGTGCTAGCTTGGAGCTGCTAGAGGGCAAGCCTCTGCCAGGTGTTCTTGCTCTTGATGATGCCTGAATGCAATGTTAAATAGACTTAGCTCTATTCTGGAGTGAGTTGATCTTGCCGGAGTTGTTGTACCTTCAAATTTTCTCCTCAGTTTTGTAGATGTGTTCAATAAATTTGTTTCCCTAAAGATTAGGGATGAACAACCTATGATCAAACATTTTAAAATTTACCAGTGATGCTGTGGCTTTCTTTGACAGGAATGATTTCTCTGTGGCTCTTGAATTATTTTTGTTCTCTATGACAGGTACAAACTTGGGTTGAGTGATGCTGTGGCTTCCTTTGAGAGGATTTTCTCTGTGGCTCTTGAATTCTATTTATCCTTTATGACAGGTAAACTCTGGTAAGGCAATTGAGCAACAAAACAATACACAGGTCCTGTGTGTTATATCAACAATTATCCACAACTAACAGATGACAGGTAAACTCTGGTAAGCCAATTGAGCAACAAAACAATACACAGGTCTTGTGTGTTATATCAACAGTTATCCATCCACGACTAACAGAATCTATAAACCCAATATTTCTCTTGAAAGTGCTAAAGCTTGCCCAGAGTTCCAAAGTCTTCATGACTTGCAAAGATATGGAAAAGAGAGTTTCTATTTCCAAACATAAAAAACTGATGTTGCAGTTCTTCTAAGCCAATTGTGTCAGGAAAAAGAAAGAACAGCTACTGAACATTGTCAAAGACAAAACATACATCAGAACAACATAGTTCTTGGAGAAAATTACATCTGGTGACTTATCTACAGAGATTCTCTGATCAAATAAGAAGCTCCAACACAAGGTAGCAATGTGGGAGAACTTGGACATAATGGGAATCATTCTTATGTTTGCTTTGCCTCTATTAATGCAGAGGTAAGCTTTGCGAAAGCAAGTCATTGCTCAGCATCACCTCAAGATACTGGAATGCAGATCTCAAGTACCAACTCGGATGTTTCCGGGATGGCGAAGCCAAAGGGAAAGAGAAGAGGAGGAATCACTTGGATGGAAGATTCTTCTGGAAAGCTCCAGGAGCAAACACAGGGAACGAGTCGACTACTTGTCCCCTCTCTCTTCCACCACGATTCGTATTTGATGCCCTCTCAGTTTCCGGCCACATTCTGGTGCTGCTGTCACTTTGCTTAGTGTCTTTAGCTGGAGCATTGAGAAGAGGACCACCAAAGAATATTGACTGCCCACTGTATGTTAATCTCTCTTGTGCCAGTATAGGAGGCACCACGGACGAAGAAGCCTTTGGTTGAGAAGCCCTTCTTTCAAAAGCACAAGCTTCTGCAGAAGAATTAACCAAGGGAACCCGAGAAGTCCTAGCTGGGACATCCATAGTATTGTCAATTCGATTAGTTCCTGGTACTGAGACATAGCGGCCGGCTTCTTGATCCCAGACAACAGAAACTTTTTTATTCTCCCTAACAATTGCAGTGGCAGTTTGGAACATTGTGTTGGTATGTTGGCTAGTTTGAGGCTGACCTCTCGCAGCAAATGGTGGAGGTCGATCAGGAAGAGGATGCGGCAAAGGAAGTGAGTTGAGGGCAACAGATTCATGAATGTGAACTGGACTGCTCATGCTGCTTGCACTCTGAGTTCGGGTCTCATAGTCATCCTTGCTAGTGAGACTTTGCACATAAGAACTTCTTAGAGGAGATAATTTCAGTTCCCCTCTTGATTCTCTGGTAGCACTATAATCCATGCTTAGACTGCTCCTACCACTTGCATTTCCGCTGGAACTTAAATCAACATCAGGAACACGATGAGCATCTATGGGCCGAAGGACTGAAGAGGATGCCCTGGCTTTGGCCGCCGCTTTTATCGCCTCATTAGAGTCCAATTTGGCAAGCTTCCATGCACTGATCTTAACAGCCTTTTTGGACTTATTTGCTCTTTCCGCATACCCAGTTGCATCTGGATCTATAGTTGATGGTACCATCCCAGGTTCCAAGTGTGGAATTATCTCATCCTGTTATAGAAATATAATGATGCGTGTACTGAGCAAGAACATTTTAGATTAATGACGCTGAGGCAAATTCTGGTCTGCTTGTGGGTTTATTAAATTTAAGCATGCACAGGCAACCAAGTATAATGGAGAAGTAACCTTGATAAAGCTCTACTGATATCATCTTATAAGAAGCCTTATTTGAGTTAAATTGTTTGGCCTACTACAAGTATTATTAATTATAGCAGTAGTATGAAAATTGAATGAAGCTTACCTGGTGATCGACAAAGACCCTTGGAGGAGTGCACCATACGCCTTTGTACTGAATACTGATAGAACTTCCAACACTCAAGCCTGTTGTTGCAGAATTAGTTGGGGAGTAAAGAAGGTTAGGCACTTCTTCATCGGCTGATGCTGGAGGTGCCTCACTCATTGCTCTCATAGCCACAACATACTCATAGGTTGTGATTCCCTGTTCAAGGGAGGAAGGATAAAGCACTTGCTAAATGGAGAATCTGAATGGCTGTTTGTTTGAGGACAAACCTTTTTTATCAGTATCATGTGGAAAAAGAACAATTCTCCCAAAGGTATGCATGCCACTATTGACACTGCGGTACAAATAGCCTAGAAAACCAAAGTTAGCAAAAGTTTCCATGACCAGGGATGTTTTGTTTTTACTGGTTTCAACCTGAATGTTTTTGCTTGTAGAAATAGAACTGCCCCGGAAAGAAATGCTTCCAAAGCAGAAAAATAATAACATTATGTAAGTACTAAAATCTCGCTAATGAAGTTCCAAATTCAATCAATGTTATAAAATACATTGCCCATAATACATTTGCAAAGTGACAATACAAAGAGAAGACAGGAACTTTCATGCCAAATTGGACACTTCATTTCTGACAGGATGGCAATGCCCAACAAATTACTATGGGCAAATAGTAGAACCAGGAACGTGATATATGTTTTCTAGCTCTTTGCAAAAAAGAGAAAATTATCAGAGACCCACCTAAATTCTCCAAGACTCGGCCAACATAAAAAATGCATATCAAGAACCTCAACACACAATGGAATTATAGATGCTGTATCAAGAAAGGAAACAAGGTAGTGAACAAGAGGATTGTCTAAAAAGATTATGAAGTATAAGTTTGAATCGGAACATGTTCCTGCTTAAGGTTATGGAGGTTCATAACACAGGGCATATGAGAGGGAAGGAAGGGGGTCTTGTCTGCTTTCAGTTTTTCTTTTTTAAATGTAAAAACTGGGGCCTTTTTGAGAAAAAAATTCCTGCAAGATTTGAAGAAAAAATTATTGTTCGTGGAACAATGACTTTGATATACTAAACTTACCACAACAGTTGCGAATGGAACTCGAGAAAAACCATTTCCAAGCTTTTCCTCAATGTTGTTCTCCATGTTCTTTTTATCAACGAAGCAAAGTATAAGAACAGCAATACCAACTCCACACTCGATTGCAAGCTGGTAAATGACAACAACAAAATTAAGAGATAAGAAGTGTTGGAATTGCCTAAACTTCCTGCATATTTATTCACAGAACAAATATTACAAAATCAAAGTGCCAACATGTGATACATACCCAAACAAGACTCGTGGCCATAAGAGCTATAAAGCTGACATAATTTTTTCTTCCCACACAATTATTAAGCCACTGTAAATAAATGAAATCCACATGTCAAAGAACATTTGGTATACAACAAAGAACATGAAGGAAAATATTTCAAGACAAGGTACCCGACAATGATGATCAAATCCATCCACACATTTATCACAACTTCTACAATGCTTACTGTATTTGCGCACCTGCGGGGTAAAAGAGTTCACCAAATGATGATGTTAAAAAGAGACCCAAATTTAAATGATCATGTATCTTTAAGCAGAAATAAGAAACAGTTCTGCAACATTACCCAGTCAATGGACAAACCAGATATTCAGATTAAAAGCTTATAACAATGGATGAAAAACAGGAGCCAATGCTACAGAAGTATAGATGAACCATGTGACTGACTGCAGATAGTTGGGACCTTATGTTGTCAATTGAAGTTCCAAATGAATAAAAAAATTTAAGAAAAACAAATATTTGTTCATTTTCACTCGACACTTAAGTACGTACATGCAACCTCCTACCCTGAACCACCCAACAGAAAATGGGAAAAGAAAAATCATGTTCATGCCCTAACCTACACATTCATTTCATAAAGACCAAACATAACACCTCCCAAGATCAAATTTGTATCCAACCAATGTAGTATTAGCTAATGAGAACCTCTGTAAAAAGTCTGAGTGATCTAAGCTACAATATTTTAAACCTTACGAAGCTATTGCCATGTTCAAACATACAATAACAACAACAACAAAGCCAGAAGTTCCAACTATTTAGAGTCAGCTACATGGATCTTTTGCTACCATTGAAATCTATAAAAAACCATATGTTTAGTTAAGTTTATATTACTTAAATCTTTATTTATAGTTTCTATTAAAGTCTTTTTAGGTCTTTCTCTACCTCTCCTCATACTACTAACATTAATTATTTCACATTCTCTGACTATCGTATCTGGAGGTCTCCTCAGCATATGCCTACACTATATTAAACATTTTTCTCTTATCTTATCCTTTATCGAAATGATACTTAATTGTTCACGAATAAAAGTAATTTTTTTTTTATCTTTCCTAATAACTCCACACATCCATCTCAACGTTCTTATCTTGACAACACAAACTTTTTGTATATGTTTTTTATTAACTATCCAACACTCAGATCCATAAAACATTTGTTGGTCTTATAATTATCTTATAATTTTTTTCTTTTAATCTCAAAGGTATCTGATGATCACAAAAGATTCCTAACGCTCCTCACCATTTTAACGATCTTGTTTTTCCTCTATGAATAATATCTTCATTGATCTCTCCATCTTGTTGAATAATTGATCTAAGATACCTAAAACTTTTACTTAAAGAGACTTCTTGTTCATCCAATTTAGTTATATTCTCTGGTTTATTTCTAGAATCACTGAAATCATATTTTATATATTAAGTTTTAGTCCTACCTAATCTAAAATCAGTAGCTTCTAAGGGTTGCCTTTATAGCTCAAGTTTATGATTAATTCCACTTAGGCTCTCATCAACTAAGACAATATCATCAGCAAATAACATACACAAGGGAGGTTTATCATATAAGTGACTACTAAGTTCATTCATTATCAATGTGAAAAGGTAGGGATTTAATATGGATCGTTGGTATAATCCTATGCT